ATATATATAATTGCTTAATGATACTTCAACCAGTAAAACTTGAACAAATATCTTCAACTTACAACGCTTCCCTCTCTCTCTCAACACCAATTAACCAAGGACTCTCGAGCTAAAATCTCCCTTCAAGCACTTGTCTCTATTTCGCTATACCAACTTGCATCGCACTCTCGAATCGTCCAATAATTCTCAACTACAACACGAGCATCTTTTAGCCGTTCCTGCACAGATCATGATCGAATTTATTGGCTTCTCCAATGAATCGAACCATTCCAGCCATTTTTTTAAGAAAATCATAACTTCCCTCCCGAATTTGATTCATTTGTTTTTTTGGTATAAGATGGTTCAGTGGCTATGTCGTTTTCAGTAAATTTGATTTTATTTCATTTTTTTCAAAAAGTTTGTAGAAGTTTTGCAATCATTCGTAAACGCTTTTCATTAAACGATCTAAAGGAATCCTGAAAATTGAGTTGGGACGAATCAATAGAGAAAGAATCGTAGGCAGTCAACTCCCTTAATTTGAGTGTCAAATCTACATCTTCCCAATAATTGGCAAGTAAAAATGGAACAACTAAAAAACAGATAAATGTTTTGTGAATCATAAATGTAAAATTGATAATATAAATGGACAGAGTTAACTGTGAGAGAGAATTTCCTCTTTCCATCCATCCATCATTCCTTCCAGAGGTCAATCGCAGAAAACTGGTTCCTTCCAGAGGGCAAACGCAGAAAACTGGTTCTTTCTGTGAGAGAGAGATGTGGCACGCAGGACACAAATGGATGAAATTTGGGCTAGTATATAACCAAAAGCCATGTAAAATCACCTGAAGCTCAAATTTAAACATGCCAAAAGTAAAGCAATCGTCGGCAAAGCCATAAGCAATGGCATATAGCATGCTTGCTCCAAAGGTTGTTCAAATCGCCAAAAAATAAGCCACTAATAATGCAAGCCAAAGAAGACACCAAACTAACATGGAGAAATAACTTAAAAAGCCCCAGGGCATTGAAGGATCAAACTCCTTGGACATAAAATGCAGAATACAAAGGATTCATTACAAAAGCAGTGTACATGAAAGGCCAGTAGCTGGAGAAAAACTCATTATGTTCAAATCCAACAATAATGGTAGAAACTTGGCATGACCAGCTACTTGCAACATAGAATATCCTAACTTTGTTGTAGCAAAAGAAAACACAAATTGGAAGAGTAGGAATAATTAGCCATTTCAAAGTACACTCTCCTTTCAAAGCACTATGCCTTTTTTGAAGCTTTGACAGGGGCCTCTGAAGGGGCCCCCTTCCCAGCATTAGCATCTGACTCCTCATCCTCATCCTCAGCAAGCTTTGTCAGCTCATCTTGAATCATGATTTTCACTGCTGATTTCCTTTCTGTAAGGTCAGTGTTGAAGTGTGCAGCTGCAAAGAGTTTCCATGATTAGTCTCATTGTATATATATTGTTAAAAAAAAAAGTCTCATTGTATATATCTACATCCATCTATCTAACGAATGAGAATGATTGTGACCTTCATGTACAAAAGAGAGAAAAAGTTTATAAAAGGATGCAACCTTATAATGTAGAACTACAGATGCATCTTAAAAAGCCATCGGAAAAGATGGTTTTAATGTTGAAAAACCCTTTGATTGATCATCTCAACATTGAGATGTATGACCATGAAAAATAAAAAGATTTTAAGTCTTAGAAATAGAGCATTCTACAACATATTATCTACACCGTCCATTTTCAAGATTTTCATATGTTTATAGATCTACTTGATTTTAACTATTTTTGAAATTTAAAATTTTATAATTAGATATAAAAATAGATTTTGAGATAATCCTAAAAACATTTCACATCAAAATTATATACCATGATAAAATTTGAAGGCACACCTTACCTCTACAGCTACGGATGCAACCGTATGCCAACTGCACCCAAAGATAAATGGTCTCTTTATATCTATATATATATATATATATATGATAAGACCGTTTATTTTTTACACAAGGAGGTCACAACCACCAAAGGCCATTAGATATAAAATCCAGTGGCTAAGGGTGTGTCATTAACTAAGCTCAAAGTTCAAAGAAACATTTCTCAAGCCTTGAATGCACTCCAAGCCATCAGATTCGGCATCCAATGGTTAGGAGTAATTGTGACCACCTCATATCATAGGCCAATAGTCTTAATAGTATACAATCCCAAACAGTTCTTTTAAAGCACAGTTTCAATATAAAGAACATGGTGGGTATGCATGCATGCATATAATCACATTTAGAAGAAATAATTTACCAAGCTGTTTGAGGATATCCGTGAATGTTGCCTGTTAAGAAAGAAAGAAACAAACATATTAGGAAGAAAATGAATATTGAATTCCAAAAAAAATAAATGGAAGGGACATATTATCAAAATAACTAAACAAACAAATAGGAATAACAAAGATGAAGTATTGTAGAGTAAATACTCACAGTGTTGAAATCAACTTCCTTTAAAATATCACATATCGCCTTCCTCAAATCCTCTTCACTAGGTACATCAACACTGGACTCAGTTGCAGCCTTGCCTTTGTTCTTCCTTCTACCTGTCATAGGCAAAAAAATGCAAACCATGTCAAAGAAGCTCCACGATATCTAGTTTCAACTTTATTCTGAAAATAAAAGTATAGTTTCAGCTTTTAACAATAGCAGATTGATTGTAAACTTTCTGAAGACAAAGGCAATGGGATCATTCAGTATTCGCACCAGACTTCTCTTTGGTGGGTGATTTTTCCACAGTTGAAGACTTGGCATGGGACCCTACTTTGTCTTTCTTCTTTCTTGAAGAGCGAGGACTGGCATCATTCTTATCATCAGATTTGGGCTTCTTAGATGCAGATTTTGAAGGACTCTTTGAAGGTTTGCTTGGAATGACCTTCTTAGGTGTTGAAGCTTTCTTGGAAGGTGACTTCTTAGCAGTTTCCTTCTTTGAAACCGACCTTTTAGAACCTCTTCCATGTTTGCCACGTTCTTCCTCTTCCTCTTCCACTTTCTCTTCCTCTTCCTCTTCCACTTGCTCTTCCTCTGCCTTCTCTTGTTCTTCCAAATCTTCTTCCTCTTCGCTACCTTTGTCTGACTCCTCCATGGCAGCCTCATCTGGAGACGCACTTTCTTTCTCTCCCTCAACTTCTTCCATTTCTTCATCTTCATCTTCCTCCTCATTGTCATCCTTCACTTTCGAAGCACCCTTTTTGTCCTTTGATTTTGGGGTGTCAGCACTCCTTTTTTTCTGCCAAATGCATTGTCTACCAAGTCAGAAATATGAAAAACAGATCAATGAATCACATGGCATGCCAAGAAATAGTACTATATGTATAAAATGAACTGGGTAAGCAATTATTGCAACAATATCGAATGTATGATCGTAAACCAAGGCCAAAACAACAAGTGCTTCCAAGAAGAGGAACACCTTGACATATAAAGATCATAGGACAAACATGCCATAAATATGTTGCGAAAAGTATACAACAACCCACTGAAATAATAGACATTAATACAAAGGAAACTAGACTAAACCAAAACAACACATGACCCAATGGTGAGTCCCACTGTTCAGAGTGTAACAGTCCATTTTAAAGGATGGCATCCCCACAATCCATTTTCTCCCTCATCAAAAAACAAATCGATGATATTGAACCCATCCAATATGGTCTTTCTGAAGTTAAATCACTTGAACACGCCACGGTACACAAATTATGAAATGATATTAAATATGTAACGATACCATAACCAACTCAGAATTCTCCATCGATGTTATTTTTCCACTACACTTTCATCTACAAGAACAGATAGCAAATGGCTATCACCCATAGATATGCACTCAGTGCATAAGTAATATAGATATGTTATCTCTCTCCAATTTCAATTATCACTCATTTCCGCAGCGGCACTTCATAATATGCCAGCAAAGCTAATATCTGTGGATATTGTATAAGTCCCAACTGCTGCATGTAATTAAATGACACCGATCAGTCACTCATTTCGCATAAAATATGGTGGTAGACCTGCGATTTCATAATGTTTGAACACTGTAGGAATTCATTCACAGAAGTTTTAAGTCATACAGGGGCATCGATATTTCAAAAGAGAGAGGACTACAAAAGCTAGGTCATAAAATAACAGTGAATTGGCTTAAAACAGGGTACATCCAGAAGACAACACGGCAACAGCGTTAATGGAAGCTACCCAAGTGATAACAGAAAATACAACTAGCACGTTGAATAAATGGAAAACCAGGAGATGCTCGGGGCTGGACCAGCACGATCCTTGAAATACAGAGACCATCAAATTAGTAGAATGATCGTTACACAGCCAGTTATACCAAACTTGTTTCAAGCGCTAATCTCTTGGAAACTCGAACTTAAAGAAACAAAATGACCTCATACACAAGTATATGCGGACGACACAAGTGTGCACCCAATGAATGAATTCTACCTTGTAAATCCCACAGAAATTAGACATTAGGGAAGATTTGGTTTATATCACACCAGCTCAAGTTCCTTATTTGTCAAAATTAAAAAAACAATTTCCAAAACTCAAATGGAGAGGAAGATTGTTCAAGTTCGGATTATAATAAGAAAGAGCTATCATGATTATGGCCCTGTCAGAATGCACATGTATGCGCACATAAAGCAGGCTTATAGAAGCACGAGGGTGGGTGCCAAGATTCTTGCCACAGATATATACATTGTTGCACAAATTTTTCATGCAAAACGATATATATCAGCAATACCGCCTTCCCTTAAGAAGGGCATTTTGCCTCCAATGACAATAACTCCTCCTGGCACAGGCACCATATCATCGCATCTGAACAAGGCCCCTATGTTAACAACTGCTAAAAACAATATAAATGAGCTAGTCATCTCAAGAAGCTCAAAATAGACCATGTCATACAAAAACATGCAAAATGTGGGAATTCAAATGTCATGCGAAAATGTGGAGTCCGTAGATATCAAAAGAAAAAAAAAAAAGTGTCATATTTGCATCATTTCAGAAAAAAGGCCCAAAGCTGGAGCCAAAGGCGTCAGAAAACAAAAGCAAAGCACTAACTATTAGAATCAAAGCACAATAATACGTCGTCTTTTAGGCCCCTATTATTATCACTGAAATACCTTCTTGAAACAAATCAGGATTGGAGTTGTGAAAAGGAAAATTGGGCATGCTATTAAATTTTGAAATTAAGTAGAAAGGTACCTAAAAGTAATAGGGAGCTTTCAATGCATATGTAACCTACCTAAAAACATGATTGGCAAAAAAATGAGTACAATTTAAGGGAAGTCACAGTGGATGTGTCGTGAAAATGAGGAAAATTCAATCATTCCACCAATAGTTATATCCATCTATGATATATCTAAAAGGCCTAGCATTTTGATATTTAAAAATTAAAATTAAAACATGGTACTCATGTTGAAACTTGCGCATACTGCCATAGTACAAATACATAGTTTTGCTGCCCAATCAATTATATTAGAAATCAAGATTTCTAAAATTAATTTTCAAACCAGAAGTATAAAATCCCAATATACAGAAAAAGAAAGCTCAATTATATATTTAGCTATATTTGTAGACTTCTTTAGCCCATTTTGCCCACCATCGTACTTTTCATATATACAATGGCAATCGTACAGTTTTTATTTTTTATTTTTATTTTTATTTTTTTGTTTCTTAAACAAACTACCAAAAGAACATTTCCAAATTGACTAAAATGCTTCTCTACTGAAATGGACCCACAACCAAATCTGACAACATTGGAAAACAATGCTATCAGATTTGCTCCACTTTGGCTGAAGAATCTCAAGCCTTCAGCTCTGTCTTTAAAACCTAGCCAGTTGGGATGGACCACCAATCTATTTTTACTTTACACTAGCGCAAGAAACATTCCAGGAAATGTTTTCCATGTTCACTTTTTCCCCTGTTAGGTCTAAAAAATAACACAAATAGTCCTTATATCAAAGTGGCCACATAGCAGAAAATATTTGTTTTGCATTTATATGAAATAACGCTAGAACGGAATATACCTACAAGTGTCCACCCAAACTCACCCTAAGTGAAGCATGGAACAAATAGTTAGTGGCCAGACATGGCCCGCTTCACGTCTCTTCAGCCGAGTCTAGCCCACTTTGGCCAAATCTGCCTTTGATTGCCTATGTATTCATGTTTGACAGAAATCTGGCAATTTCTCTACTTTCCAGACAATTCGCCCAGAAACCCAAGGAAACAAAAAAAGCTCCTCTTAGGCTCATATAACATGTCCAATCTGATGGGAGAGAATTGAAGATGTTAAAGGGGTAATTCAGTTTGCTTGATTTGTTGGGACAAAGCTCATAAGTTCCAGCCTTTTACCTCCCTTACCTAACGAGGAAATCTACCACTAATTCCAAGACTAAGGACAAAGTATTAGGTCCATTTGTATGGACAGCTAGGACAAACTTCAAAGATTTAATCCCTTGACCTCCCTCAACTAAAGCAGGATGTCTACCAGACTACCACTCATGCATTTCAAAGGTGCAGAAGCCTTCTTTTCCATAAAATTTCCTTGGAAGTTCTCATTTTATCATCTTTAAAAAATAATTAATATTTTATTTTTTGAAAATACAATTTTTCTACATGTTAAAACTTCTTTAATTAAGAGAAATTTAAACTTTTAAGTCCTCCCAAAAATTACAGAAATATCTTCTATTCCTAGGCCAAATTGAACCAGGCTCCCAAGTGAACCAGACAACATTGAAAGAAACAATAAGAGAAACCAGTGCTTAAAGAAAAAAACTTGGAACCAGGTGAGAATGGAACTCTAAACACCATGCCATATTCAGCCACCACTCTGACCACCTCTGCCTCAAGCCCATGCTCAAAGAAACCAGTGCCAATTATTGAATGAAAAAATAATTTTATAGTTACAAAATAGTATACACTTTCATGTTTGATAAAGTATTTAACATATAACACTAACACAATCCATATTATCAGAGTTAATCAATATTGTTCGTTTAACATCTGAGCCTGCATTAGTTTGACTGGTAAAGCGAAGAACTTCAGCTCCTCACAATCATTCAAGTAAAAAAAACTACAAATTGTAACAAGACAAAGAATTGAGAATTTTAACAAAACTAATCAAAAGGGAAACATATTGAATATTTATTGCAAGAAATCCATAAACAAGAACACCCTACTCCAAAAGCTCCATATATTCTTGGTGACATTAACCCAACAACCAAAAGAAAAAAAAAAAACATTTTGTAAAATGGACAGATATTATTAGGAAACATATTGAATATTTTGTTGCAAGAAATCGATTAACAGGAAAACCCTACTCCAAAAGCACCATATATCTTTTGTGACATTAACACAACAAACCAAAAGAAAAAATAAAACCATTTTGTAAAATGGGCAGACATTATTATTATTATTATTGTTATTATTATTTTGATGGTAGGATCTTCGTAGATTTGGGATTCATAATGTTCAATCACAATTGAACATCAAATCTCCAAGGACAAATATTAGTTCTAAAAAACCTACCTAAAAAGAAAATTGATGTATAGATCCCAAAATCAATATTTAAGAATGAAAACCTTTTCCATCATAGAGCCTCTAAAAATGATATACTTGTTTCCAAACCCACAGGACACTGATAAGCATGAAATCCAGGGAACTTAAAATTTCAGCATCTTTCAATACTTACCAATAATGCTAATGACTTAAAAGTCATTACTTGGTGATCTTATTATTGAATGGATCCAAAACAAAGGGTTTCCAGAAAAATGATGGTAAAGCATCTCTTGCTCATTCCATACAGCATTTCACTTGGGCATTTGGCCGAAATGAAACAAAATTAATGACATTGATTGTACTGTCATCATTTGCTTGTTTGGCCAATTAAACAGCCTTTTGATTTCCTCTTTGAAATGATTCCCTATAAATTATATGGAAAGCATACTATAATCCATATGACCACATGAATCATGTGAATAAAAGGGCCATCGCCATCAATGTGTGGGTTGGATGCTAATTGAGGAGATAGTGCCACAGAAGGTCAAGCATAGCTCCAAATTTTCTTTAAAAGTTTGAATCAATCTAGATGAACAGCTGGAACTCCACGCCCAAGCAATGACAACAGCAGAATCCCCTTAGGAGTAATGGGGTCTCTCAAGTCCAAAGGAACTTTCTGATACCATAAGGAGAACTAGTGCTTCCACTTCTTTGGCATCACAGCAACCGAACAACAATAAG